ATAAACATAAACAATTACAATACATATTTTTGAAAGCATTCTTACTTTACAGCATTTTTTCCACCTGCCTAAAACTTTTGCACAGTACTATAAGTCAGGAAAAAGCCAGGATTCTGGATTTAGACACAAACCATGGTTAAATAACTCAGGATATATAAAGCAGAAACAAATTTAAGGTCCAAACTGTAATGCATTGCTAGCCGCCCCCCCCGCCCCCCCCCGATTTACAAACATGCTTCCTTCAAAGATTCAGGACTCAGCATAATTTTTTAAAAAAACTAAATGTAGGCTGAATTTAACTCATGCTCAAGACAGCTCAAAATGGATAGAATTACTGTATGAAATGAGGTTCTGCTGGGAGATGATTCATGCTTACTACATTTCTCTTCTGTTTGGGTTAACATTTGCAGGCTACAGTCTCTGGCTATAACTGTGAGTGTGATCCTGGTTGGGTTGGTACTAACTGTGCAGAAAACATTGATGAGTGTTCCAGCAACCCTTGTCAATATGGAGGAAGCTGCACTGATCAGGTGAATGGCTACTCTTGTAAATGTACAGATGGCTGGACTGGACCCCAATGTCAAATACCCCAGCAAGGTAAAGGAATAACTCATTGTAATGCAATTGTTATCCAGTACCAGGATGTAGAAGTCCTGTCTTGTTGAAGAGGAAGTTGTTGGCTCAACCACCCTTTCCAAACCTGGTATCCTCTAGATCAGTGTTTCTCAACCTTGGCAACTTTAAGATGTGTGGACTTCAACCATGCTGACTGGGGGATTCTGGGAGTTCAAGTCCACACATCTTAAAGTTGCCAAGGTTGAGAAACACTGCTCTAGATAGTTGGTCTCTTGCTAATGTGACCCATGACATAAAGATTTCAGAAAACAAATAATCTGGAACTGAAGACATGACTCTGTAAATAGGTTGGATGGCCATGTTCACTGAGCATGGCTCCAAGATTTTCATGATCATCAAGGAAATGCTGCAACGAACCTTGCTAACCCCTCCTGATGTGTCATAGAATCCCAAACTATGGCATCCAAGGAATCTTGAGATTTGTTTTTCCAGTAAAATTGTGATGAGGTTGGCATAGGCTAAATGCTGGATATTAAGTTCTTCATTTTTTCTTCAGCTGCAGCTTGTGGAAGATCATTTTTTAACTCAACAGGGTCATTCAGCTACCCTAACAATCCAGGGGATGTGCAGTATAATCAGCAGGTCAACTGTAATTGGGTTGTCAGGACCAGTTATAATAAGGTAATGACCGGTAAGCCTGGAAACAAAAGAATGACAATATCAATAACATCCTAGGAAAGATTCCAGGATGTGAGCCTGGAACCTTCTGTATGCAGAACATATGACAAAGAAAGTGTTGTTGTTTTATTCCATGTTGGTATCATAACTAAGTGAGTGGTTTCAAATTTTACTTTTGTTATAGATTCGCTAGACTTCCCATTAAAAATGGTTGGTAAAATGTAGGTTCACATCTGTACCAGCCAAAAAATTCACTTGGTGACTTGGGCAAGCCATCTACAGTCAGAGCCTCAGCATTCCAAGCTTGCCTTAATGGAAAATATGGCTCTTGCCATGAAAAATCATACTAATATTCCTGCTCCGCCACATTGCTCAATAATAGTGCACTGAAATCTCAGTTTAACCTCCAACCTCAAAGGATTTATAATACAATAGACCAAATTTCTGTCCAGATATCTCCCAAGACTTTGTTGTATCTGAAGTAGTCCAGAGAAGGCAAGCTCAGTAATACTCAGCTTGTCTTATTTGCAATGACTATACCATTTGCATTATGAAATCATGATGCAAATAAACAATTCTCTGCAATGATATACGTTTAGTATTTAATGGACATTTGGAAAGAATGAACTCTTCCTACTATCAATTAAATCAAGGTTTCATGGCATTCATTGAATTTAGAAGCTGAGTTCAAACTGTATTAAACTAAGTTTGCTTAATCTTGATGATTTACAAATCATAACATGGGTTACAAACCACAACATATATACACTGAGCACAACACTATACCAAAATCAACAAACCATATTATGACTTACAATATATATGAATCTAGTCCCTGAATTGCTGCAAGACTCCCTTTCCCAACCTTGTGTTCTCCCAACATAGATTTTAGATTTTGTGATGGCTGGGAAGTCTGGGAGTTGAAGTCAAATACATTTAGAAGACAACCAAGTTGGAAATAACTTCTATATGGATTGCAATGAGGATGATACTATTATACCAACATTGCTTGCATTAGTAATCCATCACATATAATTTCTGAACTGGCTGCAAAAGATAGTTATGTGCAGACACAGGATAAGGAATATGAATGCAGGTTTCCCAAGGCCAATACTGCAACAGTTGGACAACACAATAATAAAATATTTCTTTATACGTCAGTGTGATACTGTCATATTCTTAAAAATGTTGAAATAGGATATGTTATCATGTGACTGAAATAATTATGAGGTGTCTGGGATTAAATCCTTCTGTTCAGTTTTTGGATCTGTGGAGGACTCTTGCTTTATTGCTCTTCCATTCCCTTGACCCTTAGCCTTCAATCCTTCTGCCTGCTCTGGGCTTTCTCAGGATATTGTAAAGTATCTCCACATTTCCTGTCAAACAAACAATTGTGCAGACAGGTGTGCTATCTAATCTGTACAACTTAATTGTACAAACAGTGTCTAATCATCCTGCAGATGAGATTCCCTCAGCCCCTGGGGAAAGAAAAACCAACAAATGAAGTCATTCTCTGCTCTTTCCTCTTAGGTCCTGCGTATCACCTTCTCATTCTTCCATCTGCAAGAGAGTAGCAGCTGTAGAACTGACTTTCTCCAGATTCATGACGGGGACTCGACATCTGCAAATCTGCTGGGGAAATACTGTGGATCAGATCATCCACAGGAGCTTTTTAGCAGTCACAATTCTTTGTATTTTGCATTTCACTCTGATCGCATGATTAGTGGAAGGGGATTTACAGTTCACTGGGAGTCTCAACAGCCTAGTAAGACCATGTTTTTGTAAGAAGCAGTATTTTTGTTGCTTAAAAGTCAAGGGCCTAAGCACTGGCTGGGTCCACACATCAGGCTGTACCATAAGCCATGAAAGCGCAATTTCTACTGGTTCAAGGGGTACATGAGATTTTATAAGGCATGCCAGAAGCTAACCCCCCCCCCCAAAATTGTTGAGACTAAGCTACACTTGTGAGTTTTTCAGGAATGAAACCTATTATGGTCCCTTAAAATTGCATGTAGCCCCAGACAACAATTTGTGTACCCCTATCTTAAGCCATGGTTTAAAGACCTCAGTGACTGGTTTTACACAACATGCTAAACCACAAACAAATGAACCACATTATGGTCTGGCAAGATGTGTAAATCTACTCAGTGAGTTTCTAGTAGAATAGGATTAAGATGTGAAGTACACAAGTTTGGAGTAATAAATTAAGGCAGTGAATCCTAATATGATAATTTTATAGGAAAACAATTTTTCTTAAGGGTAATCTAGCTGTAACAGTTTCCCTGTTGTTGGGTTCTTGATATTCTCCGAGTTTGCTTTTCTTCTTACAGTTGTTTCATCACCAAGCTAGATACCTTCTTCAATAACATGGGCAGGATGGGGGCTGTTTATATATGGTAGCTTGTCCTATCAGTTTGCCTGGGATATTGTTTCTTCAGAATTCCAAACACAAACTATAGCTTGAATTACACCGACTTCCCAGTTCCTATTCAGGAAGGATTTTGATAAAAAAAACATACTATTTGTTATATAGTCATACATCTATATTTATTCCATGTGTATTACATGTAATGGGTGATGTCTGCATAGCTCAGCTCAAAATGAGCAGGAGATAGCAAGACTTATTTCTTTCTCTGATCTTTGCAATCTCTCAGTTTCTACAGAACGTCCAATCCATCCACAAAACTCCCCAAGTAGTCTTCTCCAATTTGGTGGCCTCTGGATGTGTTGGATTACACTCCTATCACCCTGTACAGTATGATCTCTGGGTTGGTCACTGGGGAACCAGTCCTTTCTCTTGATGAAGAGAGCCTAGAAACTCTCTGCAAGGCTTTCATTCTTGCATATGAATTAAAATTCAGAAAGAATAGTTTGTACTTCAAGTGCCTGGCAAAGTAAGATAATTTATGGCCCATATTAAATACAACATTACTATAATTGATGATAGTCACAGTCATGGCCTCGATGTATGGAAAATGTGAAACAGTTTCCAGGGCTTATGATTGTGATGAGAATTTTAAAAAGTGAAGTGGTTAGTAAGTTGTTAAATTAGTTACGTTTTCTCCTTTTCCTTCTCTCCCTCCCTCCTCCTTTCTCTAGCATGCGGTGGAGAACTGACTAGTACTCATGGAACAATTAACTCACCGGGCTATCCTGGCAACTACCCTCCCAACAGGGATTGTTACTGGATCATCTCAACTAATCCCGGTCTTCTTATCACATTTGCTTTTGGCATATTAAGTCTTGAACATCATGATAACTGTACCCAAGATTATCTGGAGGTAAAAATAATTTGAAAGAAAAATGGATACTAACAGCACAATAAACAATAGGTTTAATTTACATCACTGAAAACAAGCTGAATAGTTATTACCTGCAACAGGATTTTTTTTTCTATTCTTATAGGAGAGGCTCACATATAGTACTTAGTCTTAATTACCATGTTCTATCCAATAAGTCAGTAAGTTATATGAATTTGTATAACATGCTAAGAAAACATTAAATAACAGTTACAAACCACATTGTCTGGGTGGCTACAACATGCTGAACTGGAACCAAGCATATAATAACCTTTGGGTCATTTGTGAACCCAGCCATATACATTTCTTGAACACCATAGCACTGATTTTCCAGGGTATTGTATTGCACAGAGAGTCTACACAAATAGATTCTAGGATTTTAGAAAGCAATATCTTAATAGGTCTCAAATCTAAATCTATATGTTTCTGTGGTATTCATTTTAAGAAGTTTTCAGAGGTGTTGTTTCATGACTGGAAGACATAGTACAGAAATTGGCATTTAGATCTTGTTATATTGCATGAGAAATCTAAGATTTTTTCTATTAAGCTATCAAAAACAAAACAAAACCCACAAATACCACACTGAAGATTATTCTTGGTTAAGATTAGATATCTATCCATACTGCAAGGAATGAGAATGCACTGAAGCTGTTCCAATTACATCATCAAAAATATGTCAAATGAAACCTGTCTTATAGAATATGCACAACAGTTCATTCTAGCATTGAATCATTTAGAAGCCCATGCATGAATCATAATAATCATGTGAAGGGCCAGGACAGAAAAAATTTAGAAGACATTTAAATGTTAAGTGCTTATCTCAGTTTCCAAGAAAATAATTATTTCTCAAGTCGCATCTGGCAAGCCTCCAATGAGATTAGCTTTGATATATGAAAGCATTTCTTGAGTATAGTTAATCAGGTGCATCTTCAGAAGGGTTTTATAATGTAACAGCTACTTTTTAAACAGCCAATCGTCAACACTTATTATTTTTAATCTTGGGGACATGCAACTCTTTAATGATTGCTCAATTTAATAAATGTTGTTATATTTTTAGCTAGAGTTATTGTCAGTGGCAGCTAGAGAAATCTGAAGTCCGAAATCTACAGGCTGTAGAGTTTGGAGGCGATGGAAGTGGTCTTCCATCTGAATAGGATGGGATAGAGTGGGAGGAAATATTTTTGGCTCATGAACACCCCCTAGAGTGGTATTTCTCAACCTTAGCAACTAAGATGTGTAGACTTCAGCTCCCAGAATTCCCCAGCCAGCTTGGGGAATTCCACAGCCAGCATGGCCATTGATGAGAATTCTGGGAGTTGAAGTCCACACATCTTAAAGTTGCCAAGGTTGAGAAACACTGCCGTGGAGCATGGAGACCCCAGGAATGAGGGTTGGAGTTATAACACATGGGAAGTTTAGGATAGATCTGTGTGCATAATCTCTTAACCCTTGCTCAAGTATGGGGGGAAACATGTAGACACAGGTAGAGACAGAGGTCTTTTCTGCTCTTTCAAAAATGTATTTCCAAGATGACTAACAAAATGTGCTTTTGAATATATATATGTATATGTGTGATTCTCCTTGTAATAAACAATAATATAAAAATTAAATCAGTTGAATAGCATTGTACAGAAAAAGAAGTATCAGAGTTGTTGAAATTAATTTATTTTAAGCAATATGAAACACTGCAGAAATGCTCAGTAGAGAAAACAGAAAAGCTTTTGATCTTAGATACAGATGATACACCTATATTTGACAAAGTATAACAAATACTTGATGGCATGCTTTTGTTTAGATCCGAGATGGCCTTCTCTCTGGAGATCCCCTCCTTGGGAAATACTGCAGTACTGTGGTACCACCTCCTCTTGAAACCACTGGGCCATATGGCTGGATTCATTTTCACTCCAATGCTTATGATAGCGATAGAGGATTCCATATCACATACATGACATCACCTGGTAAGTGTATTTGTCCCTATCAGCCTTCTCATCCTAGGGCCCTTCAGATATGTTTTGAATGTAAACCCTAAATTTAAAATTCTCATTTAGCACAACCAGACACTATTATGAAATGCACGAGCCTAAAATACTTGGTGTCCTCCAGATGTGTTGGGACTGCAAGCTTGGAATTCTGGTAATTGCAATCCTAACGCATTTGGACTACACCAAGTTGAAGAAGACTATATTCTGTTCTGGAGCAAACTATATACAGGTAGTCCTCATTCACTGATTGCAATTGGGACTGGCAACTCTGTTGCTAAGTGGTGTGGTTGTTAAATGAAATGTCATATGACTGCACCTGACTTATGTCAGTTCTGGCTGCGGTCATTAAGTAAGGCATCACATGACTGCAACTTGAGAGTTCCTGCCAGCTTCCCCACTGACTTTGCCTGTTAGAAGGAAGCTGTGAAGGTCTCAAATGGTGATTACACAACTGTGGGACCCTGTGACCATTGTAAATGTGCGCCAGTTGCCAAGCACCTGAATCATGACCATGTGGCCATGGGGATGTATAATGGTATGTGGGAATTATCTTAGGAGCTGGGGCCCAGAGATGATGCCCAGGGAATGGTCAGATAAGTGGCAGCATAGCCTGCAGCTGAATAGTGGATGGGGCAAGAGGCTCAGAAGAGACCCTCCCTAATTTCTCGAGAGTAAAGGATACAGCGGGAGAATTGTACTTTCAGACTTGCAAGATTCTGTTAATGTAGCCTTACAATAAAGTACAATTAGCTCATCTATTCGTGTTTCCTGTCTGGTCTACCTGGTAAGGCTGACAGGGTACTTTCAGACTTGCAAGATTCTGTTAATGTAGCCTTACAATAAAGTACAATTAGCTCATCTATTCGTGTTTCCTGTCTGGTCTACCTGGTAAGGCTGACAGGGTACTTTCAGACTTGCAAGATTCTGTTAATGTAGCCTTACAATAAAGTACAATTAGCTCATCTATTCGTGTTTCCTGTCTGGTCTACCTGGTAAGGCTGACAGGATGCTGTGACAGCCACAAGTTTGAGGATCAGTCATAAGTCTCCTTTTTCAGTACCATTGTAACTACTAATGGTCACTGAATGAGTGGACAGTAACTGAGGACTACCTGTATATATATGGAGGGGTATATCTATGTAACATCTGTAATTATGAGTAATCATTTCTTTTTTGTTAATGTAGCGGATCCCAACTGTGGAGGGAACTATATGGATAGCAGTGGGGTCATCATGTCTCCCTACTGGCCCCATTCTTATCTGAAAAACAGACAGTGTGTTTACATCATTCGACAGCCACTCAATGAAAAAATCTACTTGAATTTCACACACCTGGAACTGGAAAGCTATCCTGACTGCTCCCTGAACTATATTGAGGTAATTATTATTTCCTATTTTGAAAAAATGGCGAAGAGCAAAGTGGATGAGTCATAAATCTGGGATTAGATCTCTCTTCTATTTCTTTTTTTTTCCCTAAGAAGGAAAGAAAAGGGGTCATGGGGGCAGTTAGCCTGCCCTAATAGGCTTGCAGCATTGGAAGAGAGGAGATTATTTCCATCTGCATTGTTCTGATATCAATCAGCTCCTAGAAAAACGACATCAGGGGAGAGGTTTAAACCAGAAACACACTATCATTTTTAGCCTAAGAGTTACAGATGGTGTGGCTGGTGATGTCATGGTATTATCAGAAGTATTGGGTTGATATTTTTGGCCAGTATTTTGCAGGGTTTAGGAACTGCCCAATTTAGGCTGCTTGAAGGATCTTTAATGAGTGAAATGGGTGCCTTAAGATTCTGTCATCTTTTAAACTCTGAGCACCCCAAAACACTCCAAAAAACAGAAATGTTGTCCTTGTTTGTTCTGAGGTGCTGCTATAAGCCTGCAAACTGGTTAAAACCCCTTCTCCTGGCGCTGTGCTTGTGATTTAGTGGGAAACTCTGAATACTACTGAAAGAAGTTTAAAGCTGTGAGAGAGCAGGAAAAATAAGCCAATCTGTTTATTCAAAAATATGTCAGAGGAACATGTATACAAAGGTATACCAGAGAATATCAATTTCCTTATCTACAGAGGACAAGGAACAGGAGAAATGTAACCAGCATAAAAGAAAAATACATGAGCAACAAAAGTTGTCTGTGGTCCCACTCACTCTTTGTTTTCTATGTATGATTGTGCTCATTTAAGATGTGCCAAATTCAGTATTAAGATAAGTCATGTGGGGCTGCCTTTCTTTGCCAGGACCACATCCTACAAAGGGTCTTACACCCTTCAGGGTTGCATACATGAATTACACAAGGAGTAAGTTTCTTCAGCCAGGGGTGTAGTGACATACATTACTTGGAACCGCCCCATTCCTTATTAAAGATTTAACAGTACTCGTAAAAGGTAGGAGTACTCATAAGAACTACATTAGCAACACTGGCAAATATTAAATATAAGACTTCACATGTTTTAAAAGTTACAAGTTATTCCAATATGAGTTCCAATTTTAAAGAAAAAATGGTGTCTGATTCTAAATACAGTCAACTTGGCTAACATGAATTTTCTTAATTATTAAATTAGATGTATATTTGTTTCTAAAGTCTTTTTATACAGACTTCCAACCAAAACTTTGTTATGCTTTTCACTGTTCCTGATCATTGTCTATTTGCATATCACACTTATTAATTAAATCTATATCCTGTTTTTCCACCCAGTTGTGCTTGGAATGAAAAGCAGTAATATAAAAACATAATAAAATGCTAATGAATCTCTAAACCTACCATTTTTGAAAACCAACCTAGATATAAGATTAACACAGTTCATAAAACAACCACCTTGAACCAGTAACAATGCATTTATAAGTCATCTTACAAAACAGACTTTTCTTCCCAAAGAGCTACAGAACATGGGAAGAGACATTAAAAAAGCAATTTCTCAATTTCCTTCAGATATTGGTAAGCAGACAAGATAATCTCTCCTGAGTTATCTTCTAAGTGGAAAAGCCTCACAAAACAGAATGTTATTCTAAATTGCATCATGGTGAGATCTAGTTTTGTTTAAAACATGACCCAGCTATTCTAAAGTACTTTTAAAAAGAAACATGTGGGGATATATAACAGCTTTCCCTCAGCTAATTGGAGAAGGTCACCATATGACCTTGGTTGGGGTCATTAAAAGCAATTGCCTAGGGCTTAAAGAGGCCTCACTTTATTATTTGACATGTCAGATGGATGAATATTTTTCATTCAAGGCAGTAAAGTTTAATAAAATACAGTAGAAAGAGTTTTCTTACACAATTCTATGTATTGGGACTTCAGTGAAAAAATATGGAGAAGAAATGTCTTAATGTAGGGTGCTAGGTAAAGAAAATATGACCGTTCTCCCTTTGGGTTCCTCAAAAGGTCCTGTGGTCAGCTCTTTAGAGAAAAGTGCTTGAATTTTACCCAAGCTACTGCAAGTCTAGATTTGATTCAGGAAAAAAAAAATTGATTCAGAGTATTTCCACACCAATGTTTCACACCCCTTTGGGATTGGCTGGCCCTTGACTGATCTCATGACAACATCTGTTTCTGTTACTGGAGTCGCTTTAGTTCAGATTCTGCTTCAGATTATTGGAAATAGCAGTAAATGCTGCTTTTTCCTTTGAACTGTTCTGGCTCTGCAGAACTTGAGGACATCCATTTTTCCATTGGCAGAAGCTCTTGCCTACTTCCTGGTTCAAGCCAGACACTGCTCTCTGATTTCTCCCTGAATATTTCAGTACTTTTACTTGTACTTTACAAACCACCATACAAATGCACACAAATACATGGATGCAGGGTTCTAGTAATATATTTTATTTCCTTTATATGTGAAATGGGGGCGAGGGGATTTTGTAACTCCACAACCAGTGGTAGCTCAGAGGGTAGGACACTGATTGGATGATCTTCTTTGTATTCTCTTCTTTGTATTCTGTACATTTTGAGTCAGTAAATAGGTTTCGTACTGCTTTGTGAGTTGAAACACTAAAGGCAATGAAATGCCCTTGGTTGTCTTTATTTAAACTTGCCTTTTGAGAAACGTTGAGAAAGATTATGTGAATTAATATAAACATAAACGGAGGTATATTTATAGCGTATAGCACGACTTCGTCTTTCCTTCTTTCACAGGACGGAACAAAGATTCATTGCCAAAATCAGATAGAAATCTGATGTAAAATTAAAACAGGAACAATTATTTACTTGGATTCATAATGTCCTTCTCTAATTGTTGGCAAAATCACAGTAACGCATACTATGCCAAATGGAACAAAATAAAAACCATTTTAATTAGGAACAATAGATTTAATTCAGCAAGGCATTTCCTTTGTCTTTTGTGAATTAATTCCAGAGATTATAGGTTTGCCGTGATGGATCTGGGTCTCTTTTGCAGGTCCCTTTCACCACCTCTGAACCTCTGTCCATCCACCCTGCTGAGGACTATGAGTATGGAAGGCTATACAAACACTTAATAACCCAATATTTCTACTATTTGAAAGCACACTAACCTGGGTGGGGATGGTGGGAAATAGCTTCTTTCATTGCAAGGAACCTGAAAGACTATTTGCTGGATCATTAGGTTTTCAAATGTGGTGCCTGGAGGACACCTCAGAGAGAGTTTTTAAAAAGGCTACACACCTTGAAAAGTCATACATTTATCATGGCCCCTCAGAGAAGTGGTACAGCATTGCTCTCAGAATTACTAGAGTAGCTAAGATCAAACATGCAGCAGGCTACTTCAGCATGAGTGGGAGAAGTTTTGGCCTTTGAAACCATAACAGCCCCTGGATTTCTGACCCTGCACTGTGAAACTCCATATAATGTATTTATCTGTACTGTAATGTAAGCCCATGTCAGCAAACAGCCAAGGGAAATTTGCTGATAATAATAACTGTGGGTGTGTTGCTTTTTATTATGTATCTCCAAACTCATCAGAGAGTTCCCCACAAAAAGCATATATTATGGATTAGATTGTGCATTATTTGTACATGCTTCTGGAGATGGTGCTCATCAGCTGTGCTAAGTGGTTCTATTTGTCAATGCCATTATCCTGAATGCAAATGATGGAAATGCTTCAGAAAGCTATGGCGAATTGCAGTTCAGTGAAATGCAGGGAAGCAGACGGGGTACCTGCCAGAGGTAAAAAAAAAGTCAAGATGGTGGTCGCAACCATGCAATCAAAGCCCCGCCCCCTTTTTACATGTCTCACAGAGCTTCAATCACACGGTTGTGGCCAACTTGTATTTGTTGACCCCCCGCCCTGCAGACACTCCTGGAAGCAGATGTTTCAGAAATATGAGAGCACATTCTTTTAATTGATAACATATGGAACAGCTCCAAAGGCTTTGGATTTAGAGAAGGTGCCATCTTCTCATATAATAGTGTATTTCATGTACAGGTTTAATTCCATTACTAGTCTAAGGTTAAAATTGTTTAAGAAGGAAATGCCCTCTTAAATGATCAGACTTCAGCGTATTTAAAATAAAATAAAAACATGTTGGAGATTATAAAGTGAGGTTAAAGTGATTTGTATATTTTCACTGTTCTCCAGCTGGATATATTACCTCCTCCCCAGAAAGCAGATATTCAAGACATTTCTTCACAGTAAAGCTGTGTAAATTTTGTTGTTGTCTCCACTAAGTTTCTATGAACAAGTGAACGTTTGTTTTCATTATTAAGAGTGCAAAAATCCATGCAAAATTTAGAAAGCAGATAATGTTTTTAAAAGCCAGCATGAAAGTATGGAGGAATGGCAAACTAAGCATTTCAATAATTTCCATGTTATGGGCATATTGTCAGATTCAGCCCAAAGAACTCCAAGAGACAATGCAGATACAGTTCTGTTGCGTTTATTACCTTCCCCCCCAAGACAGAACCTCACCAGCCTGACCCCAAGTTCCCAAGCCAGCCAGCCACAACCCTGTGAATTCCTCAGGGGGGTGCCA